ATGTGCATAAAGAAAAAATGAGTTCAAATAGGAAAAGAATATTAAAAAGTGATCAGATTTTAAGAGCAACTAGGTAGATCCTTCCAAAATGTATGATAATGAAACTAAAAGCTCTATGGATGCTAATATTAAACAGAAGATTAGATCCCGCTGAAGCTTTAATGAACTGGAAGACATATCCAAAATCCACACCCAGAATACAGCAGAGACCAGGACATGAAAAATAGAAGAGATTTAACGGATTGCAATGGAATGACCCAATGCATCGAAAGAAAGAAGGGTAGGAAGGAAGCAATTCATCTAGAAGGGCTATTAATTAAGGATTGTTGAACAAACTTCCAATTATGTTGATAAAAATACAGCAGGTCAATAATACTGTTGTATCTTTGTATGATGACAGATGGTAACTACATTTATCCTGGTGAGCTTTTAGTAATTATGTCTGTTGAATTGCTATGTTATACACCTGAAAGAACAAAAAGGACTGGTGAGCAGAGAACCTGGTAAGAGTAAGCCAATAGGCATAATGAAACAAACACCAAAAATAATAGTATTTATCATATGAACTTAAAAAGGCAATTAAAACAATAGCACACATCACAGGGGGGGGGGCGATCAGAGTTACTAGAATTCTGCCAAACCATACCCTTCTAATCAGTAAAAGGATTAAGATATTAATTAGCTTAAAGTTTTTTTAGTATGTAAAATGTCAAGGGTAAATTACTACAACAGAGAGTCAAAGTTTCTAACCAGTAGAGAGAAAAATGGAGAAAACAAAAAATACACATAAAAGGACATAGGAAACCGAGTGAATAAAGGCACAGAGATGACAATAAATTCAAATGTGTTCAGTCATTATAAATGTTAACCAACTAAAGCCGATAATTCAGTCAGAGATGGCCAACTAGATCTAAAACAAAACGTTACACTGTTTACAAGAACTATAAAGCATTAAGACACATAAAAATTGAAAGTCCATAGAAAAAGGTCTGGACAATTATGAGAGACCAGGGCATAATTTCTAAGGAGGATATGGCAGATTCTGGGGTGCTGGTAAGTGTTGACTTTCTAATAACTTAGGCTGTACATTTGTTTTGTGCATTTTCTGAATGTATATTTTAAAATAAAGTGTTAAAACATTTTTTAAAATGTTATACCTAGGAATATTTCTAATAGAAGATGTATAACTTAGTGAAGAAAATTTCAAACTGTACTTTAAAAATCTGAAATATCACTTATGTAAATAAATGAGGCATCATTTGTCTAGAGTAGAAGATTTGCTATCAGAGGAATAGTACTGAATCTATAAATGCAATGCAATCCCAATCAATATCCAACAGGTTTTTTTCAAGCTAATTTGATAAGCTTTTCCTAAAACTGACACGGCAAGGAATAGTCAAGACCATCTTAGGAAAATAATACAGGAGGAGAGGGGAATGTTCTGCCAGATACAAAGATTCACTATTAGCCTACCCTATAGTAATTAAGAAATTTGACATAACAGAAGAAATACTGACAATCAGCGGGGAAAGGATGACTTTTTAAAAATAATTCTTGAATTGGTTAAGCAAATCAAAGGGGGGATAGTTCCTTACCCCACAGCATATGCCAGAATAAAATCTAGATGAATTGAGAACCTACAAAGGCAAAACCATTTAACACTTTTAGAAGAAAATATATCTTTACCTTGAACCAAGAATTTCTTAGAAAAAGCATTAAATATAAAAGACTGATCAATCTACATTAAAATGAACTTCTATTCATCAAGTTATCATAGATAAATGATAAGAACTGAGAGATGATATTAGCACACATAAAACTGACAACAAATTAGTATGGCAGAACAACTTCCAAGATGATCCTCGCCACCTGGTGTTCACACCATTGTGTTGTTCCCTCCCACACTGTACCAAGTTTGGTCTGCATCACCAAGTACACAGAGCAATTAATGGTATGTCACATTTGAGGCAGGTCATAAAAAGACTGCAGTTTCTGTCTTGAGTTTCTTCTCTCTCTGATGGCTCACTGGGCAACGCAAGATGCCACACTGTAAGCATCCCTGTGAGAGGGTTCACATGGCAAGGAATGGAGGTCTGCCAACAATCATGTGAATGATCTCAGAAGTGGACTCTGGAGCCCCAAAGTCTTGAGATGACCATGACATCCTGAGAAACTCTTAGAGTTACCAGCTATGTTACACAGCATTAGATCACCAATATAATTAGCATCCTTAATACACAAAGAACCCCCATGAATATGTAAAGACAACCAACCAAAGGAAAAAAATGGGCAAAAGACACAAAACAGGCTTTTCACAGAAGAGGAAACACAAATGGTAAACATGAAAAGATGTTCAAATTCATCAATAATCAGGAAAAGGCAAATTGAGACTATAATGAAATGCTATTTAACATCCAATGAACTGAAAAAAATTTTAAGTCTGACCCCAAGTGTTGGCCAGGATATGGAGCATACGTAACCCTTATACACAACTTTTAGGTATGTAAAAATGTTATAATCACTTTGAGGGGAAAATGTAGCATTATCTTTTGAAACTGAAAATATAACCCACATATACTAGCAATTCCACTCCTAGGAAGAGATGTAAGAGAAACTCATACACATGTGCACAGCAGCATTGTTTATACTGGCTAAATTCAGGAAATAGTCTAAATGCTCATCAACAGGATGGATAAACTATGTGTATTTATATAATAGAATAATACACAGAGTACAATGAACTGCGCATATACGTAAATCTCAGAACAACATGGAGTGAAAAAGCAACACTCAGAATATACCATGCAACAGTCAAAGTATTTCAAAAGCGGGACATCTGTAACCACCAGAGCTTAGGTGCCTTCTTCTCTTGAGCAAGATGAGGCATTTCCTTGTGGAGGACCAACAAGAGGTCTTCCTCAGCTTGGCTGCCCGGGTAACTTTCTCACTCAAGAGCTTATGAAATCAAAGAAGATTCCCCAACACCTGAAATAATAGTAAACCTATACTAAGCCTTTCAACTCTGTCCTCAGTGTCCAAACCAGAATGGTGTGTCAGGTGTGGTCTCCAAAATAAACCACATATGCTGGAATTTACACAATTAACGAGTCTTACTATTTTTTCGAATTACTGTTTACCAACCAGTATGGAAATATTTCAGTATTTAGCATTTACTATGACCGTATCACTGTGCAATGGCTGAATAACAGCCCTACACATACAGATTATGACACTATACGGAGCTCAGAAACATGGAAAGCTAATCAGATGAAGGGAAAAAACACCCATATGGTTAAAATTAAGAAAAACAAAACAGTAAACATAAAACGCAGGATAAGGTTATCCTTGATGGAGAGGGAGATGGTAATTTTCTATTTCTAAAATTGGGTGATAGATCTACATTTATTTTATTATGGCTCATAACATACATATATTTTCTGCAGTAAGTTCTCCTCAGGGTTGATATTCTGGACTTAAGCTAGTTGCAAGCTCCCATTTTCTACAATGCTACCACCATCTTATAAAAATTAGATAAATATGTCTGTAGAGTTCCTCATTTGTATCTAAAGAAAGGAATGAGGCTAATTTGACATAATTTGTTCTTAGGACCTAGGTCAGTTGCCCATTATGTTTTCTCCTAAATGCTGACCAATTACCAAACATTTTTAAGTTGTTAGATTTCCCAGGGATTTACTCCTCAAAATATGTAGTATTTTTCCCATTGCCCAATCTTTTGGCACTTCTTGTATTTTCTATAGCTTCTTAGATTACTGACAGTGACTATATTCGGGAATATATCTGATCATAGGTACATGAGCTCACTGAAATAGGTCTGGTGTTTTTTAAGAAGTTTTTCACCTGATACCTTCTTCACAAAGAAAATCTATTCTTTCAACAAGTCTGGAGATTCTTTTCCTTTTGTTAAAATTGTTATAAGGATTTTATCTTTCCCTAACAAGCAGGATTGACCTCTCTGATCTTAGTTCAGATAGTAAAAGCCCTCTTTATTGTTTTGAGATTTTTTTGTTGCCACTGTTTTCCTGCTATTTTGTTTTGTGTGTCTCCCTGCTTCCAAGCTTGGCATGGATCTCTAAATTTTCACCTCAACAATTGCTACCCCTCATTGTTCAGGACCAACCCTGAGTTTTATTCCCTTTTGGAATATCTAGAAGTTACCAGTCATATTTGCCCCTTTGAGCTGAATCTTCTGAATTAAGATTTCCTAAAATGACAGCTAATTGTGATCCTAATTGTGGCAAACATTCTTCTTCCACACTTTGAAATGCCAGGAAGACATGGGGCTCTCCCTGACTGACCCAGGAATTCAAGCAGCAGGAAATGCTGACCAGCATGTGGGTACATCAAGTTATGCGGTACAGGAAGTGTTCAGAGGTTAAGATGGTATAAAAGGAAAGTCTGTGCAACATAGTTATTTACTGTAGAACAAAGATAAAAAATCCAAATTATTACACTCAACTTAAAATTCACTCTAAAGAAATAGTTAAGTTTTTCTCCCTTTAGAGAGCTTGAAAGAAACTAAAACTAGAATAAAATTCCCAAAACCACTTTGCAAATAAGGTTGCCCTTATGTTTCCACTTAGTGGAACCTGTCATCTCCACTGAATTATGTGGAAACTAGACATTCAAGAACAAAATCATCACATCTCTAGCTCACATAGCAATAAAGAGATAACACATTATACACCTTAACTGACCATGAAAAGATTGTTTTATTCCATGAAAATATTCTCAACAGAGAACACTATCTTAAACAAAGCATTTACCATTAAGAAATCAACATGTGCACAAAAAGAGTAAAAATTACTGAAAAATTAAAGACTTCTCTTCAACAATTCACATGTTCAAAATTTAAGAATGATTTAAACTGTTCAAGTACAAATGTCTTTTCTAATGTAATAACCCATATACAGGTTGCACTATTCCATGTGAAGGAACTTGCCTCCCACGGAAGCAAATCCTGCTTTGAGAAAAACAAACAGTAGCTTGAAAAGAACAGTTAGTCCTTACAAGAAAGCCTAAACTTTGCCCTCTGTGGCTGTCAGCCAAAAAAACACAAGCACTTCAGGCTTTGTACAGAAGACAAACACAGCCAGATCACATTTCCTCCTCATTGCTAACCTTTAAAATAAAAATAGCACTAGATATTAAAACTACTTTTATGTAGTCTGTCAGTATTGAATAATGTCACATTATATAAATAACCCTGTAACGAGATTCAGAATCTAAACCTTATGGTTTACTAGCCTCAAAGGTAATACACTATATGTCAACTGTGTAACAGGGGTGTACTTGATCTTATGAAGGCATTAACTTTCACACAATTGTCATTCAGCTTTAGTATAACTGGTAGTATGATTCAAATAACACGGGAGAAATTATTAAAGAAGTCACACAGCTTCTAAAATATTGCTTAAAATCCAGTAATACACAGACCATTTCACATTCTTTTTCTTCCCTCAAAACAGTAAAGAACCAAATTAATGAACCTTCTGTGACACAAATATCCCCCACTCCCACCCATCTCCCTATTAAACACCACTAAGAAATTAGTTAAGATACAAATCATTATCAAAATCACAAATGTGAAGCAGGACAACATGAGTAACAGGGGCACTAACAACAATTATATTTACAAGTATAAACATACAGAAATTTCCATTTTACAAGTAAAAGTGCACATAGATCATTACAAAGTTTCACTAAATTTCATCTGGTTCAAACAAAAGCATCACTTGGAAACAGACTATCATGGTAATAATCACATGAAAACATGGTAACCCCAAATTAAAAGACAACGGGGGAAGTCCATAAAACTTCTCATAAAAACACTGAGTAAAGTAAAATGGACTCAGATATGTCTTTAGTTCGATCCATAAATTTGAAGATGCACCATCAAACATGGTAGAGCTCTAAAAGCCACCTACCAAGGCAGCACTACTGAGTTTCAGGAGGTTGCACTGAGCTGACACATAAAGCCCTTTGTGGGATACTGTAGTGGTAGTGTTGGCAATCGACAGATTTAGGCACTCTAGTTTAAGGCAGCATTTGAATGGAAGCAGCTGACTTCGGACAACAGTTCTTTATCTTGAGGTGGTGAGTATCTTCTGTGTTTATTACACCAGGATTTCAGTGCTGACTATAGATTCTTCCTAGCCTGAGGTGCTGAAGATGTACCATGTTTCAAAGAGTTCTTTCAACTGGGCTGTAGGCTAGAGCAGAGATGTTTTCTTTTTCTTATCATAAATACTTCAGGTTCACAAACTACTTCTTCATAATACCAAAACTGGAATGTTTTGCAGTGGGGAAGTTATAGCAGCGTACAAGAATACTAGGATGGAAACATTAGTGCTGGAGATGTCTGACAAAGTGATTTGCACTACAAATGTAAAACAAAACAAAGGCTTTGACGAGAACAAGGTATTATAAAGACATGCCTGAAAAATCTAGCCCGATCACTCTACACATGCAACAGGATGTTAAGCAGGCACAGAAGTGGCCAGGCAAACACTGACAAATGGCAAAGATTCTAACAGACAATGGATCTAAAAGCCAATTCAAACAGAGCGGGGATGAAGACAGTCCTGTTGGGACAGCTGAATATAAGACAAATTTAATGACACCTCTGTATTCTTTCTGATTTACACATCAATAAAATAAATGGAAAAAAGGTTAGCCATCACTGGCTTTTTTCCCTTTATGTGAATAAGGAATTTAAGGATTGGTATTACAATGATTTTTTTTAAACAATGTATGGAAATGCTAATGAAGTTAGTAAAAAATAATCATGTCTGCATGCAGTCATGCAACTTGCTTCTCTCTCTCTCTCTTTGAGCCTGACAACCTTAAAACCCTCCCCCCAAAAGCAGCTGCATGTAACCTCCTTCAACATCTTGCCCATTTCCTCAGAAACCCTCTTCAGGAACCTGCAGTCCAGGAGGGGGAAAAGAAAAGAACAATTACTGAAGACCTTTGGTTAAGACCAAAAGGGGTGTTCAGTTTAAAGTATCCATCCCAAATGTCTCTAAAATCATTTTACAGTCAGCTACTGAAACAACCAAAAAAATTTAGAACACGAGCAAAATTAAGGGTCAGACTCTTAATTGCTTCCTTACTTTATTTCCCCTTATAACCACAGCACTACACAACCCTTGACTTTTTTTTCCCAACAAATGCTTGTTGAGATTAATTGGAAAAATTAAGCCATCCAACAATTGATGACTTAGCTAAAATAATGAACTGCCCCACATGGTGGTACAAATACACTCCCTGCAATCCAGTGAGTCAAAACAGTTTTTTTTTCCAAAGTAAAATTTGCCAGCACTTCCCTTCAAGATTTCCTTTTATTTAGAACCTATTTTCCTACATATAATTATAATTGCTAAATGCTAAATAATCACTAGCATGTTATTTCCCAAAAGACATTTTCAAGCTGAAAAATACAAGCATTACTTCAGAAGGAAGCTTATACATAACTGAAAATTACTAGTAAGCCTGAGAACATTTTCAGGTCTCAAAAGCAAGCTGTTTTTATTCACATAACAGCTAGAACAGGTTGATTTATTCTTCAGGTCTCTTGATTAGCCTACTACTAAATCAAATTATGGGCTAGGTGCTTGTTTTCTTCCTTTAGGAAAGCAAAGGTAAGGACAGGGGAAAAACAAAAATGATTATATTCTTATTGTATCCAATTAGCCAACTATTACTTTTCTCCTGGAAACCACAGCTACAAATTTAAACTCCTAACCCAAACCACTGTTTTGAGAGTCAGCTTACTATAGCATTTCAAAGCAGTTTTGCTTATTAGAATTTACCACTGTCACCATGTTTTTTGAAGTACAGTAAAAAAGGAGTGCGGAGCTTTCTATCTATAGATTCCTGCCCAAAAGATCAAAATCTATGATTTATAAGGCAGAAAAAACACAAATTTTTCACAACGACTTAAGCAGGACATAAAGCAAAAAGGCATCAACTAAGCTTCACATCAATGTTACTCAAATGTTTAAAGCATCACAAGAACAGTTTCTTGGGATAACACTCACATCTAAGATCAAGCCTACACTCAGCTCAGATAGTGAACAATCAATCTTGAATGCCCTTTAAGTTTTCTTATGCTTCCCGCCTGCTGAATATGTTTTCATTTTAAGTTATCATTCCTATGTCACGTGCCACAAAGCTGACTGGTTAGTTTAGATGTAAGTTACTGCACCTTTACTGTTTTTCTCTAGAGTTACATCTATGTATGATGTGGGGACGTAGCCTTCTTCACCATTCTGTCTCCGAGCTCTTGTCCATCCATCACCTTTGTCTTCCTCAATGATGTATAAAACTTCACCTTCTTTCATTGCCAGAGTACCTTCATTATGTCCTACATTAAGAGTTTTCATAGCACAAACATAACTTAAGTACAGCATTGACTTCAAATAAAAGTTACACTACACAAAACAATATGAAAACCTAGATTTCAAAGTGCCTAGAACTATGGGTCCACTCAAACTCATTAGCAACCTCAATCTCTATGATACTTTGAAGTTTACCCAACAGTTTTATGTGTTATCTCACTTCAGCTGCACAGTAACCCTGTGAGGCCGACCTTAATATCACCCCCACGTAGCAGATGAAGTATTAGAGACACAATGACATGATATGACTTGACAGGATGCTCTTACTCCTATTTCACTACTCCAATTCCTTTCCCATATTTGAATGGCATTACTGTCCAGAAAATTCATGAGGTGTAGATAAGGATAGTAGTAACAAGACATTGAGAGGATGGAAAAAAAGAAAGAATATGAAAAGAGAGCAGAGAGAAAAACACAGGGTCAATTCTGGTGATGACAGAAGCAGGAGAGTCAGAATGATCACAGCTACAAAGCACAGCTTCCTTCTAAACCTCATCAACTCAGGGCTCTCTTTCTTCCCAATGCCCAACCACTCCCAGCCTACTCAGCAGTAACAATTTCAGATATGCTGAAGTCCTTCCCTACTCTGTAGATTACATTATAGCAAGATCTTATTTAATGTTATTTTCTCAGAATTAGTAACTGCAGCTTTACTCAATTTCAAAACCAATACAGTGGATGGGTGGGGAAGGGCCTTAGATCAAATACCATTTTATAACAACTTATCTGTAAGAGGTGTTACTCTGCTCCTCTGTCAACTGAGGAAAAGGACTTTTCATAGTCCACAAGAGGGAATGGTAACTAAAAATCTGCAAGAGAGGGTCACAATGCCTACCTTCCCTCACAGGGTTAGTTCTCCAACTATCACAGGGGAAAAGATGGCAGTCAGTAGCCACCACTTTCTCTCCTTCCCTTACCTGAAAACAAAACATGGCCTAGAGAGTCAGGATGTGGTGTTGACATTCAGCCATGCCACTTGCCTTGTACCTGTCTCTCAATATTAGCAAGTTACAAGGAACAGCATGACGTGGCATCTGCCAGCCTTCCATTTCCTTAGCTAACCTACATGCTCAAACTGTTTCTATGTTGATGAGCACACATAGCATTAGTAAGATCTCTGGGGGAAAATCTGTATCAAAGTTTAAAATTTAATAATCTGTAGATAATATAGGCAATTTTCTTTCAATGTCATATACAGAAGAAAATCTCTGTATCAAAACAAAAATATCCAAACTAATGAAATGGGATTATAATTTTCTGACAAGGTATTATTTAGCTAAGGACACTAACATGCATGAATCAATGTATGGAATCAATTTTATCAAACACAGTATGTTAAGAAAATAATACCATCAAAAGGGTAGATAGCTTTGCAGTGTCCAATAGCAGGCAAGGGATCATCATCTTCAAATTCATCATCAAACTCATTGTGGTGACCAAGTTGTTGGGGTGGTCCACGGACTTCTTGGTTTGCATCATCAGTGTAACTTCCCTCGGGACTATAAAACATAAAATTACCTCTGATCAAGTATCATAAACACTTGAACTTTTTATATTACCTACAAGTTGATCTCCTCAGGATCAGTTCGGAGAATCGAGTATCAATGACACATTTCCCAATGAAGTCTTTATTTTCTTAAACATTGACTATATATATATGAATTGCTTCTACTACAAATTGCTTCTTTGTTGAATTTACTGAAATTAAAAAACTAAAAGATCACAATATTCTAGACACATAGCAGTAAATATGTTCATTAAATGCATCTATCAGTGAGTCCAGAGATAAAATGGAAAAATGTAGTGGACACTTGTTTCATCTTCCTGGATTCACCATCCTTTTTTTGACAGGAGAACCCCAAATTTCTTAGGGGACCTCTCAAACCCATGTTCAGTTCACAGGCTTCAGGTGGAGTCGTTCTGTCCCAGCTCCAAAAGGACCCATCTTACCATCTTAACACAGCAATTGTATAGCCAGAATGAATAGTTCATGAGTAAGCCTATAATCCAATCAGAAAGAAGAAATGCACAGATTTTTGCTTGGGACTATTGGAAGAGAAGCTCCCTTCCTTTTCTACTGGACTTAAACCTGTAGAAATAGGAGCAGAGAGCTTTAGAAGATCATCATACGGAGGCTTAAAATGTAACTAACAGCGTAGAAGGCGTAACTGTGAGGCGGAGAGAAATTGAGTCCTGAGGAGATCATCTGAGCTCCTGGATCAAGCTCTTCCTTAAGTCAGCCAATAAAACCCCTTACGGTTCAAGCCAGTATGGGTAAAGTGTTCATTCTGTCTGAAACCAAAAGACTCTTAGTAAAGTTGATTTCCAATTAATCGTGTTAACTAGGAAGACAGTAACTTAAAAAATCTTAAAGAGGTAATGCAAAGGTGTTTTTTCCTTAAAAAATTTTTAAATCAAAAAGAGAAAAATGTTAGCAATTTTGCTAAAGAATAAAATGACTAAGAAGATTTTTAATCATGGAAAATCCTACATAATTAGATAGAGCAGCACTTTTAGTATGCCTGAAAGACATGTTCTTAAATAACACAAGCCACAGATAGTACGTTATTTTAATCTAGGTTGTACTTGAATTGATTAGATCTCTCAAATCTTTCTTTAAGGTGAATTTTCATTTGTTGGATTTTATTATTGAAAGAAAAAAAAAAGACCTATCACACAACGGGGGTAAAAATGCCACAAATGTTATAAAAACATGGAAACTTATTTTGGAAGTTCTGGTCCAGATAAACAATACTTAGGTTTTCCCTTCACAAAATTTTGTGCAAATGGACAGTTAAAATTTTTCTTTGCCATAAGCTACTCAACTCTACCTAAACCTTAAGAGAATCTTCCCAAGCTTAAGGACCCTATGCCTCCAGACTGTGGCTGAAGGAATTTTCTGTGTTCCTACCTCTGTTTTTGGATTCATGAGGAACTAGAACTGAGAAGCAATATGAAATTTCATACTTCACTTGTAGCTATTACAAAGGAAAGAAAATTATTTCAGTTCAAGAGACTGATGTCATTAAAAGTCAAACCTGTCTAAACTTGGGGGGAAGAAAAAGAATTGTACAAAGCATAAGACACAAGGGTGAGAAAAGGTGGGGGGAAAAGAAGAAATACAAATAAAATGTAAAACAATGACCTTTCTCTTCCCTGTGTTACAAGATGATTTATGTCACTGCTGTGTCTTCTGTCTCCTCTCACACCTGTTTTGCCTTCAACTTCAGAGAGCCAAGCCTTAGAAAAAAGTAAGTAAAATTAAGCTCAATAAATAAAGTTCTAAAATATTCTACATTTAAAATGTGCTTTGAGTTTTTATAATTATGTAATTCTTAAGAGAAGGGAAACCTTTATTCCAATTTGGTCAATGATCAGCTCTATAGCTAATAAAAAAAACAGTATAAATGTTTCATTTTATTTAAAGTTTTAACTACAGAAAAAAAACTTCAATAAGAAGTTCTAATTCTAAAGATTATATACCATAATGATCTGTTAGATTATAAACCCTAAAATTAAATAAATATTTGAACCCTAGCAAAAGCCACTTTACCATAATGAAGTTTAGAAATATTAACTTAGACAACTACTAAATAACAAATCTACCTCATTCTTGTGGATTTCCATTCGCAGGCGGTCAATGTTATTCATGGTTTCTGCTAATTTAGGCTGCAAACTTCCTGGATCCCCCATCTGTGGATTTTTCTCATACACATCTTTCATTTTGTTGAGTGCTTCTCTGAAAATCAGAAGTTACAGAATTAAATATTCACTTCATTTATTCCCAGATAAAAGAGTTTTCACATTTGATTTTGCAGACCTCTATGCAGCCTAATCATAAAAGGTCATCCCTCTTTAAGTTTAGTCAAACATTACCTGATTAAAGATAATCTGCATAAAGCTAATGTATATAAAGTTAGTAACTTATGGAGACAGTCTTTTAAAACATTTGGGAAAAAAATTTTCACCTCTTACTACTTGTTTCCTAAATTAGGAGGCTTTAAATATATATAGGTTTACATATACATATACAGGCTTAATCAAGAGCTGAAGAATATTCCTTAATATTCTTAAAACTCATCATGTCCCAATGAGACTCATTATATTCCCATCCATATTATTCAACCAGTGTTCCTTATCTTAGCTCACCACATCTTCCTTCTACCACTCACCTATGCCAAAAATAGGAATGCCATCTTTAACTTGCCTCTCTAAATTCAGTCACTCATCTCCTCTTCAATGCTCTAATCACATCACATTAGGTTATGCCTTAATCAGCTGCACTGCACTTTTAACACTTTTAACATCTGGCATTACTGATGAACACTCCTTTATACCCTTTATACATTCTTTTCCTTCTTTATCTCCTGGAGATTACATTTTCTCTTCTCTACTCCTCAACTCTACTGTTTCATAGTATCTCTCTTGGGCTCATTCTCTTCCTCTGTTCATCCTTCTGATTTGTGAGAAAAAGTATAAATAATTTTATAAGATATAATCAAGTTGTGTTTTTTTACAGATCTCAGATTTCTGAGTATAGTTGATATATAATATTACACTGGTTTCAGGTATACTATATAGTGATGCAATAGTTATAACCATTATGAAATGCTCACCATAATAAGTGTCACCATATAGATATTACAATTACTGACTATATTCCCTATGACTTACTCATTTTATAATTGGAAGTTTATGCCTCTTCTTCCTCTTCATCATATTGTCTTCTATATGTTTTGCCTTATTGTTTAATATCATCTACCTTCAAATGGTTCTCAAATATGTATCCTAAGTTCTTTTTCTCCTAAGCTTTAGATACTCTGAGTGTGTGCCCTTTTAATGGTCTGTTTAGCGCAACTTAAAAAAATTTTTGTTCTCTTTGTTGGTGATTTTTCTGTTTAAAATAGCCCGAGTGTAGTGGTGAAGTACTGTCTAATGTCCCTAAGTGCAAGAAGGTTGCAAGGTATCTCACGGAGAAAAATGCATGTGTTGGATAAGCTTTGTTCGGTTATGAGTTATAGAGCTACTAGCCCTGAGTTCAAAGTTAATGAATCAGTAATATTTACTAAATAATGTATCCTTAAACAGAAACACACATAAAGGTTATACATTGCTCAACTGATAAAAATGTTGTGACCAGAGGCTAACTGTATTAGAGCCTAAACCTGTATTTTCCATTCAGTATTTGTTAATTCAGTGTTCAGTGCCTTTATAGAATGTAACTATCAAATAATTAGAATCAACTGTATTGCAATATTTCATTTATGACTAAGCATCCATTACATCTGATGTATAATTCGTAACAAAACTTCACTCATGCTAGAATCTAAGTTCCAATTTTACCTTCAGTATAAAAGTAGATAGTAAGTCACCAATCCATTGTAATAACCCTTTATTCATCATAACTGTTCATTAAAGTAAAATTGAACTAAAGGAAACTTCTTACAAAACTGAAAAAAAACTTAAAAGGTGTGAGTGAATGAATCTGAAGCTGTGAGTAATTAAGCCCTGTTTGCCAACATATTTTGCTACAAACAAAACAATTACAGCCTCAGGTTTCTACTGAACTCAATTTATACACCAAAGCAAAATGAAAGTTTATCAAAATATAAGGTGGTTAGTGTTGGTGAAACTATTCTTGATAACGAATCATCAAACTATGTTGCAAAATTTATGGAAGACATAATACATACTCTATTAACATGCAATAACCTGCAACTTAAGAAACTCTCTAACATTTCATTTTTACCTACAACACAGCAACCAGTTTCCCAAAATTTAGGAGTATATTTTTCTCTCAAAAGGTATTGCAGTTAGGATGTCAGATTTTTAAACCTTTTACATCATATTTAGACATATCATTCAAAGTAGACCCTAAAAGGAATAATAATTATAGAAAGGACTTAATGGAAAAATACTTTTGATCTGATTCTTTCTGTAGTTCTCTGTTAAGTTCATCGATGCGCTGCTGTAGTTTTTTACGTCTCTGTTCTGGTGGCAGATGACTGAAATCTTCTAGTGCTGGGCCCTGAAAGGAGAAGCTAAATCATTATAAAAAACATTTTCAGGCAATAATATTTTGTAAATATAGCCACTCTAAGTTAAGAATATGTATCAACTTTAATTTCAAATTAGCCCCAATAAATCCCTTGTAACAAAAATAAATTTACATACATATGTAATATATGTTAATTAAAACAATTGTATTGAAGAAAGAGCTCAAGTTCCAGTTAGCTTATGAAATCATGAAATAGAATAAGTAAAAATATCACTGGATATAGATAACTGGTAATGACCAGTATCACTTTATTCTCAGGTCTTGGCAGAGGTCAAATACATATGGACCTTCTTACATCAACAACAAATGGAAACATGTAACATTTCTCCCTGTACAACGTACTGTGTTATATGCAACAGATCACCACATTCCCGAACCAAAACTTTTGCCATTGAGTCAGAATATTACAAAAGTTCAGACTAAAAATATAAAAAGTTTACATAAGCAAGCAACTTACCTCATAAAGACAATCTAATTAATAAAATTAATGAAATATATTTTATTACTACATATAGTCTTTGAATGATTGTGTTTATTAAACTATTCTTTAGAACCAAAACATACCTGATTATTAAAAAACAAAAGGCAGAACTATCCTTTGAGTGGAACATAAGTAAAAATTATAGTCCAATGAGGAGTTTATTCTCAATTACCCTTTTGTACAACCAAATAACATACCTCAGTTGTTCCTGAAAGAATGGTATAATTCAAAGATAAATATAATCCCTCTTTAGGAAGGATGCTTAATATTTGAAATTTTTTAATGCTTTGATATTCATAAAACTGCATCATTTAAGAAAAAGTACTAATTTAGATACAACATTCTGATTCAAATGATGTCCTTCTCTTAAATATTAACCATGTCACTGTTTAGTTCTTATTAGAGGTTACACAACAGAGTCAATATCAGCAACTATTAACATAAACCCGTATTTACGTTAAATTTTTATAAACTCTAAAAGTTGATGACACATATCATTCATCATTTTTCTTTTTAAAATGTTGATTTTAAAAATATGCAAGTTCAGGTTTTAAAGTTGTTGAAATGAACTCCCAAAACAAACACATCCTTGCTCTTTGGGCCACTCAGGCCTGTAACATATGCTAAATAGCTTCATTTCAACCTTCGATAAGAATGCTTCCCTTACTTTTAAAAAAGAAAACTCACTTTCAGAATGAGCCGTGATCAAAAATAATCTTTAATTAATAACAATCGCTACGTTTTTTTCCAAGTGGCCTGCACATCATGGACATTCAACAAGCCTGCCTGAAAAAAACTAGGACATTTGATCTAGGTGGCTTTTGCTTCTTTTAATCTACCACGTTAAGAATTAAGAATGTGTTTATCAACCAAATCTGATCTAAATAAATGAATGGCAGAATTTTCTATACAATGCCTTTAAATTTAGTGGCCAATTATCAACATAAATTATCAGATTTAATCCAATTTGGGGCACAGGTTTTGGAAACTATTACATATGTGCCAAAGATAAAACTTCCTAATTTGTATTTTTTATATATTTCTTAAAATTTCGAAAAACTATTTACTGAAGTGAAGAAATACATTCCAACGTGGGTTTTTTAGTAACACTATAATAAACTCAATTATCTATGCATCTGCCAGATTTCCACTCATCCCTAATTAAACCTTGTTATCAAAGTACCAAGAGTCTGAAAAAGAGTCATCTACTTTCCAAAAATGACAAAATATGCAAGCACCCAATAATTTTGCATTTAGGTCTTCACAATGTAGTTCCATTAATTTACTTGAAATAAATGTATAAAGGAACATCACACACACACATGCACGCATGCACACACACACACAATATTTAGGTTATTTATGCTTTTATTCCCATTCAATAGCACAGAAGAAGAAAGCACTAACCTCTAATGAAATTAATAGGAAAACTTTCTCACTTTTTGGAAAATCTAATGATTCTCGTGATAAAGTACAAATCAATTTTATATTACCTTTTTAAAGGATGTTAAGAAAAATCATTTTTATTTAATTTTCCTTCTGTAAAAACTTGAACTTTTGTTCTACCATGTAACTTTTCAAGTAATGTTTAACTATAATTTTATTCTCTGTAACATGACAAGGACTCCATCCAAAAACACTTAAGAATTTAATGGGTTGATTACAGTTAACCACATTATTTTTTCATTTTAGGACATCAAGAGGTACTGGCATATGTTGGACTATGTATTAAAAAATTGTAAAAAGAAAAGACACATACAAGGTGAAAATGTGGAGATGTACCTTACCGCTTGTTTTGAATTAAACAAAACAATGTTTTGAGATTATTTAATGTTGGCACAGTATATAGATCAGCACATAAGGCTTACCATCTTCACCGACCACTGAATAGTTCAATGGAAAACAGAAAGAAATGGTAAATTATTCACATGAATCATATATAGAAGGTGCAATAACTTTTACTTTTTTTAAACAATATTAAAATAAATCAGGTACATTTCACAATCTAAACAATTATGCCAGAGAAACAATTTTAAGCACATTGTTGGGAAAGTAAATTTACTTGCAAAAAAAAAAAATTACACTGATGATAATGGGCAGATATTTTCCAAGTGCAACTAAAATTCCAAAGTAAATAGTAATCATTCTATAAATAATCATATATTTTTTTCTTTAAAAAAGAGAATTTTCCCTAAGTGGATTTCCTTTACACAGCGCTTCATTCTCAAAATATTAATACTCAAAAAGGTGGATATAAAAGATGGAATATTAGCCATTTTAAAAGAAATCTTACATATGAAGTATTAAAGATGGGAAAATTCTTTCCAATGCATTAAACAAAACACCATTGTCTGAACTTTTATAGTTTAAAATGCTGTTTTGAATTTAAGTATGTTGTGGATAGGTGAGGGTAAACATTTCTACTTTAGTTTTAAGGTGCTTTTTTCAATGTGCAGACACAATAAAAACACATTGTTATCAAAATAATAAGTAAATGAGCAATCCAGATCAAAGTTGCCCATACATTATTTCCTATTTGACACAAATATATGGGTTGAGTTTTGCTTTGAAGATACAGCATCATTTTTTGGTTTTTATTCTGATATTATATGCTTGAAAAGCAACACTAAAAATAAAGTTTCAATTTTTAGAAAGCTGGTTAAAATTTATTTCTGAAAATGTGAAATGACATAGCCAGAATGCTCTCATACAGTATATATGCCACATATGTATATACAACCCACATTCCATGGGTTAGCAGAGTTCTGCAACTGGCACTGCATATATTTAACATCTCAACTGAACACACACGTGCACACATACACACACACACACACCTTGTGACACAATATCCAGTAGAACTTTACAAAGTTAATTTCCACATTCATCACATTTGGTTAGCAGCCTCTAAAATTGTTATATTTCCCTTTTTTCTAAATCATGTTTTGGAGAAGGTAGGGGGTTATCAGGTAGAATTTCACATAAAAAATACCAATTTTAATAAATAACTGACAAAAATATCTACCCCTTATCTCATGAATTGGCTGTATATATTAATGGTTATGATGGTAAGAAAAGATGACATTTGCTATCCATTATTTTTCAAAATTAAGCTTAACATTCTTTAGACTGTCAGTAGTTTCAGGTAACAAAAACCACAATTTATTTTACTATGACAAAATTCCTGGTGAGGAGATTAATAGGTCTAAAATTTTTAAAAGATGTTTATGGTCTTCTTTAAATGTTATTAAAACAAAGTTATATAAGAGGATAAAAATAAATATGTAAAAGTTTAATTTATCTTTTATGATAGTTTTCACCAGCTCAATTTCTAAGTGACATAAATAGTTTTCCCAGTTTCTATATTAGTATGTTTCAGGGAAAACTTTATGATAATTATGACTGAAATATCAAAGTTTTAGCTAGTCTAGTTTTGCTATTAGAAAATAAGTTATATTTCAGTAACCTTAGATTTGGGTCTACAAAAACTCAAGTTCTTTGTAAAAATTTTAGAAATATTACCATCTTTTTTTAAGTAATTCATGTTCAATACAGAAATACCTTACTCTCATATGCAATTATCATATAATCATATACCTATAACTAGAAAATTTCACATACCCATTATACCTTAATATAATACAAAAGGAGCTAAAAAGGAAATCCATTAGGCAATTAAAATTATTAGGTGTATTTCATTTAAAGACAGGAAAATCCTGAGAACTGTACTCTGGATAAGTAAGAACTTACAAAAATGAGTCTAGAAGTCTGTAAGATCATGAAATTTAGACAGAATACATGGACTTGTTGTTGCTAGATAAATGCACTTCTAAAAAAAACAGGAGTAAGTATTCCAATAAGCTCAAATGAATAGCTGTTTGTATACTAAGTAGTGAGTTTGGGTATGTGTCCAATATCCATTAATGGTTTTGGTGTTCCAAGAAGGAAATTATGGACCCTTGTCCCTCAGAAAATATCTACTGGTACTACCATCAAATTAAAAACCATTGGTCCAATATGACATTCCTTCTATCTTTAAAAATACTGGGAACACTTGGTTTTCTTTAAAACAAAAATTACAATTTCTTTTAAGAGCCAAAAACAAGAATTTAGGAAAAACAAATACCACTCAAAACAAAAGTTTCTAATTTGAATAGCACAACTCATCAGCTTTAAGAAACCTTAAGATTTACTTTGTAAGCTTAATGGATTTATATGTAAATCCATGTAAAAATACAAACTGGCTTCTTAAAGCTCATCATCTTTCTGGATTTTTCTATATTAGAAAAATCTTAAGTGGGAGGAATACATCTCTATGAGTTAATCTTGAAATAGTACCTAGTAACTAACAATCAAATACCAATCAAAGAAATCTCAAAACCAAGGTTGTAATAAACTTCTTCCTGCTTTATCCCTCAAGCCTCTAATTAACTTGTCTGCCATATTTTCTATCTTGCATAACTGTTTAATTTGGGTATGATAACAAAAGTGGGAAGATTTTGGCCTTCTGGAACTAGACACCCCCTCCCACCTCCCCTAACCCAAAACAATGTACGAATATGTAAAATCAAAGCAATATGTGAAAATAAAACAAATAATGACCAAGAAGATACTTTTAAGTTCTACAGTTATAAAATTCTGCCTATAAACTTATTCAGCAAGAATGAAGATGCCACATATTTAAACTTCTATCTCCAGGGCTCATAGTTCTAACTGCCTAAACATTTTCCATAGAATTACATTTACTTCGTATCTCTAAGACTATACACTGTGTAGAGTATTGTAACTGGGCCTGGTAGACTCAATGTGTAGAATACATATAAACTGTTACAGAAGTATGACTACTAACTAGTAATCTTTATTGATTTATATAACAGCATAATATTTAATGAAGTCTAAATCACCACAGAGAAGATGGGAATTAATTCTACCCACATAACTCAAGCACTAGAAATCCCAGATACTATTTAAAGTCTTTCAAACAAGTGTTAAGGGCTTTCTGATTACAGGTACCTCTATTGCCTGTAGGTATAATACAGACATATTCAAAGGGACTTTCAAAATGTCATCAGCTACTTATGATATTATTCACTAACAAAATTAGACCTATGATACCATTCACTAACAAAATTAGATAAGGTAGATGCAAAGAAGTTGTGTCATTATAGACAGAAAGTTAAGTCCAAAAGGGGAGAGGATACACAAGGATATTTTTGCTGCTTTACTGATGTCACTTAAGTTTGTCATTGTTTTAATGTTAATGTTGAAGATAATGTAATCTTGCCCTAAATTAATGTATCTTGTTCTATATGTGAAAAGAGAAACCCAACTAAAGCAATTTGAAGATAGAAAGGGCTACAAAAAATAAGAACAGACTAGACAGAGAAGGAAAGATATAAGAAAGAAATAAGAGAAGGAAGAAGGTAGAGAAGAAAGGGAGGAAGTGGGAGGATTCTCGAACTTGAGCAAAAGTGAGCCCAACTATAGTGTACTATTGTTAGTGATGAGACTTTTTATGATATTCATAGACTGAGTTCTCACCTATGGGTTACCACACCTATGTTTTTCATATGTCCAAACAAATGCTCAAATTTCTTAATTACATCTAAATTATGAACAATGAATATTATAAGCACATCCTTAAAATAAAACACAAACAAAAGAAATTAGCCTAACATAATAGAATCACATTTATCAGTAATGTAACAGTTGTTGCTGAGAAACAGTTTAATATTTGCTTCTATTATAAAATGTTTCATTTGCAGAACTTCTTTATAAGTAAATGTCAAAGACTGGCCAATTTTAAAAAACAGAAAATTTTGGTAAAAATTACTTTCAATTTTTTTGTTCAAGAAAACAAATTTCATGTAAACATTACTCAATAATATCTATATTGTATAGGTTTTTCAATTTGCAAATACTATCTAATATATTAACTTGATCTACAATCTTGATACTCAACATGCTTATCTTTAATTTTCTGGCTAACTACTGGAAATTCTGTTTTATGCTTCTAAAAGCAGGGCAATTAAAATTCAACTTATTTTTCTTAATTGTTAATATAGCAATACTTAATAAACTGCCATAAGTCATCATTAGTGACAAATTATACAAGTAATTCCAGTGACAAATTACTGAAAGTCTTAAAAATGTAAATACATTACAAGACAATGGTGGACATATGATTTCACATAAACAAAAAAAATAGCTAATATGATTGTACCCAGCACCCTCTTTATAATACCATTCTTTTACGGTTGAGCATTTCAAATGTTATAAAGAGGAGTTATTTTTAACTTGAGGGCAGCTATACTTAATTCTGTGGTTTTTTAAACTACATATTTATAGGAGAGAGCCTTATAATGAGGGTGGAGAGTATTAAAAGCCACACTACACACACAATAGGCCATCATGCATTTTAACCCATTATTAAACTTACCCCTCTTTTGAGGCTTCTGAAAGAAGGAATTCTGGGCTTCCCTGTTTTTATTTCATTCATACAATAATGCACGGGCTCAATGGAGAATGTGAGAAACTGGGACCCATTAGGAGTACTGGATGTGAATAAACTAGTAGGGGTTAAGGGTGGGGACTGTGGCTAATATAGAAATAAAAAAAGGAATCAATAAGCCAAAGGTGCATAGTTTTTTCCTAAATGAAAATTCTATTTTTGGCAACATACTTTCCACAAAATAGAACTCAAATAAAGTTTTCTATAAAAATATTGTAAAAAAGTTAACAAGAGTTTTGCCAAAACTGTCATTTTAAAAAGTCAAATTTACTTTTAAAACTGTATCATGTCACTTGATCATTTAACAACCTGACAGATTAAAATTATAGTGTACACAAATTAAAATGTTAGAGAGAGCAATATGACCTAGATAAATATATTGTCGTCTTCTGATTTCTAAAATATTAGTAGCACCTAGTTAGTTATACTTAACCTGTATTTGTCAGAGATAGAGGCAGCAGCTACAGTTAAAGTTACCTAAATAGGCAATGTTTATTAAAATAAAATGTTACATTAAAAATGTAACTTATTACTATTACAAACAGGCAAAATAATTTCATTACATTTGTGGATTTCCTCTCAGATGGTTTCTACTTCACCCTTACTGCACCTCATTTTTGTTTACATTTCAGTATTCCTTGTTTTTCTAAGCCTTCCTAGATACAGTTCTGACTTAAAGTCTCACGTCTCAACTTCATAACTGAACAATATTATTAAAAGCATGAGTAAAAAGCTTGAGTTAATTACAGTGGTGCTTTCAAAGATATTTATAGACATAATTGGAGTTAAATTTTATCTACATTCTTATGTCAAGATCAGAAAGATGAATTAAAATGTATACTTTAATACAGCACATGAGATTAAAAGTATACATCCTCCTACTGATATTAGTATAATCACTAAATTGATGAGAAAAATTAAAGCACTTATCTATTCCATTTCCTCATCTGCTGAGCTAGATTTATCTGTCTAAAACAGCACATCAAAAGATAGGTTCCAATAAGAAGTTAACAGATTCTTTTAGCAAACTAGAGACTTTTAAACTTCAAATAACTACAAACATTGAGTCCTTCCCATTAAATATTCCCATGGATGATAAAAGTTACTATTATTTTGATCTATAAGACCTAATTTGACATTTGTTATTGCTTTGGTCAATCATTCGTTCCAATTGAGAATTGTAATTGTCTTATAGTTACATGATAATGTTTCCTTAGAAACAGCAATTGGAACTACATACACATGAAATTTCAAAAGCATGAAATTAAGATATTACTAACTTACTTAATATTTTATTCATTATTAAGCGGTGGCCAAATGTTAAATTTAGAAATAAAATTTTTACTATTAAGGTATAAAATTCTGTGTTTCTAGTAAGTGAAAAGTTAATTGAATCATTCAAATAAAAATATTCTCTATTAACAGCAAATCATTATCCATTCAAAGCCTACACTGATTCAAATGACACACTAAAACATAATTATTACCATAGAGGAATTTTATGACTTTTACCTTTGGCTTCTTTCCAAAGAGCCACAACTTGCCCTTGGCCTTTCCTACGGTGGTTTTTGCATCCACCTTTCCACCTTCTTGTTTAGATGCACTGATAGTACCATCAGAAATGGTTCTATAAATATGCTGACTGTAATCTTCAAATGGAAAGTCTCCTGGAGGTTCAAATCCAGACTTGAAGGAGTCTACTACCATTTGAGAGTCCTATATACAAGAAACATGTGTTTTTAAAACCACTTCATTTGCTCACATTTGCTTTCAAAACTTTAATCTGTGTAAGAAAACACAAACTTAATTCTACAGCAATCATTTTAGGTTTAAAGTGAATCATTTCTTCCTGTGAATTTGTAATAAACCCTAAATATTTTAATCCCAAGAGAAAAACACTAACTTACAAATTACCACTTTGTTAATTTGTAATATTCATGAATGTTTTCACTGTCTAGCTTTAATACACTGAAATTTATCTGAGGACTAGACAGCCAATAAGAAAGATCTAACAGACAAAAGCAACACAGGATGATGTTATTCTCAAGCAGAAATTCTAATTAGTTTCAAATGAAAAGGTTTTTTTGTACTTTATAGGGTGACCTTTGGGACAGAGGAAATAGTAAGAGACAAGTAGAAAGGCTTTTACTCATCTGATAGGGAAGGATAAATAAATATCTGAAAGACATATTCAGGAATGTCAACATAACAATGGAGAAAGACCTCACAAACAGTACTGAGTACAAAAAGCCAACTCTGAAAATACAAAATGCAGTAACATTTAACTTTAAAACTCATTTATTATATATTATTTTTGAACATACATACCTTACCTGAATGTTCTGATACCTTAAACTCATTATTTTCAAACAGAATATACTGTATCTCTACAGACTCCTCCCCATGCTTAACCACCTCTCCTCTTTTATTCCCTATTTCTGTTAATAGTACATCATGCCTGTCATTTAGTCAAAAGTAATCCTTATGTTATACTTCACTTTTATCACTAATGCCACTCCCCCAGCCCAATAATTTGCTACAGGGTAAGGTGAGACAGAAGGAGGGACCTACCTATATTTATAACCTTGGATTCCAATCCTACCAAGATATAAATGTATGTTTGAATTTCCCAATTCAAGAACCCAAAAATCCTCTTTCCTTTTTAAACTTCAGTCAGAATTCTATTTGTTACAGGAAGGATCCTCACTAATACAAGATGAACTTTCTGTGAAGACTGAAATATATGTTACATATTAGGCACTCCCCAAACACTTGTTCTCTTCTCTTGCTTTTCTCTCATACCCTCAGGTTCTGCCAACCATCCTTTTTGGTCCCTCAGTCAACATTTTCTGAGAAATGACCAGATACAAGACTGTGTTAGACCTTGATCAAGATATAATTTGATTAGACATATTTGCTCAAAAGGAGCTATGCTGTTTCTTCAACTCATAATGCCCTCCCCTTCCCCTTTCTCAAGGACCATGATTCCACATACTACCCATGCTTCAAAATCTAGCTCAAGTGCCAACTCCTGTATTAAAAACAACTCTTAGAAGTCCAAATTCATTTCTTTCTCTAAACTTTGACTAGAATAACAGTATAATATAGCTTACAGCATACAGTTCACTGGTTAGTTATACTCTTGGAGTAGAACTGAAATATGAGTGAGGAGAGGAAAAGTAAGGGTTAGAACTGTTTTTTTTTTTAGTTAATTGTAATTTTAGTGTTTAGAATGGCCCTTACAGCCCAAAGGAGTCCAATCTATTGCCAGACTTTCTTCTATAGAATATAACTTAGAATCAGCTACCCATTCTATTACTTCACCCCTTTCCCAATTCATGCCACTAACTTAAGCTGCATACATAAATCACATGTACTTATTCAAATAATTATAAAGCACTTACTCTTCTTTCATCAACTGATTTTGCTGCAAGAATCATTCCTTCCAAACACTTTGAAATGATAGGAATAACTTTGCGTTCTGAATCTGCAAATCCTCTGTAACACTCACTGAGTTTAATAGTCCTCCGTTCATCCATTTCTTGTAGTTGCTAATAATTAGGAATTGAAAAAAAAAAAGGAAAACTGAATTCCCTTTTTATTCTGAAGCAGCCACCCCTCCAAAAAAATTTAAAGAGTCTATCCAATAGTTTCATTTTAAACTTAATGGCTTTCCACAAATGCTACAAACTTATAATACTTAAACTTAAGGCCTGTTAAGTAGGAAAGGGAAAAAAAAATCAAGACTTTTAGCATGCACTAAAACAAAGTGATACTGGTTTTCAAGCTTTCTAAAGGAAACCCCCTACAGGCTACCAGCAACCTGCCTCATACTTTAGTCAGAGCAGCTGTTGTTAATACTTCTAAGAAAAGTTTCATCTGAAAACAAAATCTTGGAGTTTTTTTCCCTTTTTAAGCAGTTAGCCTATAACATACTAATCTGAGATTTCTAAGCCCTTAAATTAGTTCAGAATCCTTTGGTAAGATCTAGCTGGACCAAGGATCCATACCTAGTTGCATACCAAAAGGTATTCAAACTTAGCACAGTCTATAGTTTTGAGTAACTATCAAAAGGTTGGGGGCACAGATGAAAAGCAGGAAGCCAGAAAGTCAGAGTGGTACATATAAAAAGAAACCCCACAATTCAAAAATTCATTGGCATATGACACTAAGAATTATTCTGAGACACATGAAGCCAAATAACTTTAAGTCACTTTTTTTTATACTTCCTAGACCTTTCTTTCTCCTAGGAAACAGCAACATTCAAGTTCCCAAATTCCCACAGCCTTCATACTACTTTCTCCTCTTTAATTATTTCCCAAAACCTGGGAATTTATTTTTAGACCTCCATTTTCACAAAAGCATTGTTCCCGGCATCACAAAATGGAAAGACAACTCCATAGCAAGGTCCAAACAAAAGGATCGAAGGCCAACACACAAACAGTAGGTCATCTCCAAGTTAAGGTCTTTGCAGGATAGCAAGACTTAGCTAGTAAACCTAAGAAAGCTCCACAGAGTGAAGAGTGGCGGGCTGAACAGTCTGGATTAAAAGACCAGAATTTGACACCCATTCTAGTCCACCACCTCCACACTTCCTTTGTACTACTAACTTGCCTTTATAGAGGAAAAAAAGTGTATTTGGACTGACACTTCCCACATAAGCTCTACTTTCCCAAATACTACTTCCTTCAACACTGTTTTACTTAAACCCCTGTTCTCTGATTTATTTTCTAGACTAGGCAGTAATATAACTTAACCTTCACATAAATTCTGGGGTCTTTACCTGAGGCTGTTTGGCAACTGTTATCATTAAGCGATGATAAACAGCATTTATAAGCAAACTCAGCCTGAATTACATTTATGATCTGGCAGCTAGGAAGACAAGCAGGCCAAAACTGGGCTAGCAAATACATTTTATAAGACATTTCAGCCACTGGATTAATGCCAATGATTCTAGCATAGTGTCAAAAAGTTACATCCCAATTCTAGGTGAACAGATTACAAAATATAATTCCAATGAATTCCCTCTATGTCATGATACTTTATTATTTAGACAGTATTAAAATGTATTTAGAAAATGTCATTGTTTTATTGGACTGTTTTTACACTAATTATCTGTAGGAAAATTTGTGATTTCAAAGTGAAGAAAACTTTATTTTGCATATCCATCTATAAAGAAATTTCTCATCACCAATCTTGATGACTAGGAATCTAGAAACATTCTGACTGATGCTTGAATTTAAAATTTTTACATTTAAGGACTAGCTTTTCCAACTCTAAATCTACACCAATATCATATCTACATTTTACCTTGTAAATTTGAGGAATCACTATGTAGAAATGTTTGTGTTGTTCTCCATTAAAGTTTTGTAATTGTGCAGCATATTCATTTTTATTTTCATCAGCCATATGTGTACGTAGATTCAACTGGTGTTTAGCCTAGAGGCAAAATGGTCCAAATGAATACCAATAACATCAAACAACAAAATCGTAGCTAATTCACCTTTCTAAAAAATTGTCCAAAACTAGATTTTTTTCTAACTATTGATATCATTTAAAATTTAAAGAGATACTTGCAAATCTTATGGCCAAGAGCAGTCTCCCTATTGCAATATTCCCTTTCTCTTATCCCCTTGCAATAATCTTTTCAAATAAAGTTTCTTCTTACCAAATTCAGACTTTTTAAAAAAACTAAATAAATGATAACATTGTGGGTTGAAAAAGTAATCTTTTAATCAGAAAAGGAAAACAGCATCAGGAATATTTTAGACAGTTAAAATGTTAGTAGTAAAACATTTCTTTAAATATGATTTACTTATATCCAACTCAAGAGCCACAAGGAAAACAAATGATAAAAATGCAATTTTTAGATAACATAATATTCATTTCCATCTCTATGAAACTATGGTACTTTAAGGAATGCTTATTTAGAATAAAGTTCTGTTCATCTTGATCTCTTGTAGAAATGCTTTTCAAATGAGTCATACTAGCATGGTCTACACTGGTGAGAACATTAGACTACAAACAACATAAATCAATTCTAGATTTATTACAGGGGAATATAAACAAATTTCTCAATCATTCTAAAGTAATAGGATAAATAATAATAAATGAACTCAATTTTTCACAGTATTTATTCCAAGGAATAAATCGTGTTATATGAGAGTGCTTTGAAAATCGTAAAGCACCTATGAATACACTTCATTATTCTAATTGTAGTTTCTACAAATGCAGTTTGTAACCTTCTAATGGTAGATACACAGGTTAGTTCTTCTGAACTCAGAAGCAAACTGACCTACAGAAATATGTCATAGTCAAGATCTCAGGTATAGCCATAAAAATACATTTAATCCAGAGTAGTTGAAGATTACTATATATAATTACTATGGAAACTAAACACCATACCACAAACCATTCCTACAGAAAATACATTTGAAGTTCCAACCTGGGACCATAAATTCACATTCATTCACTCCTATTCCTTTTCTCCTTAACAGCAGAATTAAATCTAATAATTGATACAGATGTAGATGTACATTTAAAATACCACCAGCACAAATTCTGAGACACACATTCTCATACCATACCTTATGTGAAAGACAAAGGGATTTTAGTTACCATTAACTCAATGTGAGTAAATCCAAACAATGTGATTTACCCAGGAAGTTCATATACATTTAGGCTATCAAATTTAGTGTTGAAAACAAGAGAGGTAATCATACCCAGACTAATCAGACCACACCTTGCTTTATTATATCCAATTGAAGGTAACATACTTTAAGTGGGATATTAATTAATTAAAGAGTATCCAGAGAGGCAGAGGAAGATGGTAAAATAGAAGGTCACTGTGATAACTTCTTCCCACGTATATGCCACGGAAGCAACTACATCTAATACAATCAACACTGAAAATGACTTAAAGTCTGGCAGAACACACCTTCTACACTATGGAAAAAAAGAAGACCACATTGAGAAGGGTAAAGAGGCAGGCCATGATCAATTAGGATCCAAGTTCTTCCCCATCCCAACCCACAAGTAAGACAGAGAGGAATGGAGTAGGGAGGAGAAAAGTGCCCAGAAACCTGGCACACCTTGCCCTGGAGATCTGCTCCAAGAACACAAGTCCCCATACCACTGGCTTGAAATCAAAGGGGCTGGATGTCAGGGAGAGTTGGAGAGTTATGGGAAGCCAGGTCTCTCCGCTCCTGGAGGACTGGCACGCTATGTTGATCACTCAGACCCAACAAAGAGGCATCAGTTTGAAAGGAGATTTAATAACCTTGGGAATGTGTCAGAGAGAAAGAGGTCTAAATTTCTCTTTGGAGGAAAAAGGGTGAATGGACACCACTTCTCCAACACTTAGTAAGCCCAGCTTGTCAGATGCTTGCAGGAGGCAGTTCTGAAACTCTCCATCACCCCACTTGCTCTGCTCCAGCATCAGCCTTAAGACTTCCTCACCCTAAACACCCAGCCTAGCAATAGCAGCATCCGCCATTGCTGGGAGCCAGGCTGCGTGCAGGCTCCACCCACAGAACATGGCAACAGAGCAACCCAGTCATTAAGATCCACCAGCACTGCATACTGAAGCAAGAGCAATGGTGATCAGCCACTGTGACAGCCAAGCTGAGTGCTGACCTAATTCACAATCCGCCAACAGAAGCAGTGGCTCAGCCACAACAGGAAGGAGAACACAGCCTACAAGCGACACCACTGGAGCATCTAATTCTGGTGAGCAGGGGGTTGTGTACTTCTGGACACCACAGGACCCTACTACATAAAGCCACTAATTTCAAGAACAGGAGTCATAGCTAATTTATCTAATACATAGAAACACACACAGAGAACCAAACAAAAAAAAAGAGGAATAGGAATATGTTCTAAACAAAAGAACAAGACAAAACACCAGAAAAAGTGCTAAGTGAAATGGAGATAAGCAATCTACTTGATAAAGAATTCAAAGTAATGGTCATAAAGATGTTCACTGAACTAGAGAAAGCATAGATGAACTCAGGGAGGATTTCAACAAAGAGATAGGAAATATAAAAAAAGATCCGGTCAGAGCTGAAGAATACAGTAACTGAAATGAAAACTAAAATGAGGAAATTAATAGCAGATTAGAGGACACAGAAGAATGTATCAGCAATCTGGGAGACAAAGTAGTAGAAAGTATCCAAGTCAAGTAACAGAGGAATTTCTAAAAATGAGAAGATGCCTAGAGAGTTCTGTGACAACTCCAAATGAAACAACAGTAACAAAACGGGGGTCCAGGAAGAGGAAGTGAGAGAGAAAAAGGGAGAATTCTACTTGAAGAAAAAATAGCTGAAAACTTCCCTTACCAGGGGAAGGAAACAAAAATTCAGGTCCTAGAAGTGCAGAGAGCCTCTAATAACATGAAACCAAGGGGGTCCACACCAAGACACATTAATTAAAATAGCAAAGATTAAAGATAAAGAGAAAAATCTTAAATCAGCAAGAGAAAGGCACATAGTTACATATAGTGGAAACCCCCCAAGGCTAGCAGCAGATTTTTCAGCAGAAACTTTATAGGCCAGAAGGGAGTGAAATGAAATATTCAAACTGCTGAAAAGGAAAAATCTACAGCAAAGAAAATTCTATCCACCAAGTTTATCATTCAGAATTGAAGAAGAGATAAAAAGTTTTCCAGATGAACAAATGTTCAAGGAATTCATCACCATTAAAGTGGTCTTACAGGATATATTAAAGGTACTTCTTTAAATGGAAAAAAAAATTTTGAAAACAAACCTACAATAAAGGTAGCAGACCAATCACTTACAAAGCAAGTATGAAGTTCAAAAGACAAAAGCAGTAAAATCAATTATACATAAAAATTAGTCAAGGGATACACAAAATTAAAAGATGTAAATTAATTATGACATCATGTATATAAAACATGGAAGGGGGAATAATAAGATAGTACTTCAAGAATGTGTTTGAAATTAAGTGACCATCAAGCTAATAATACAGACTGTTATATATATATAGAGGCTGATATACATGAACTTTATGGTAACCACAAACCTAAAGCCTATAAAAGAAATGCAAAAAATAAATAAAAAGGAATCCAAGCACAACCCTAAAGAAAACTATCAAATCATAAGGGACGAGCATAAAAGAGGAAGAAGAGAAAGGAACTACAAAAACAACCAGAAAAAAATTAATAAAATGGCAATAAGTACATACCCATCAAGTAAATGGCCTAAATGCTCCAATCTGAAGACATATGGTATGGTAGCTGAATGGATAAAGAAATAAGACCCATGTACATGCTGCCTACCAGAGATTCACTTCAGACCTAAAGACACATAGAAACTGAAAGTGAAGGGATGGAAAAAGATATTCCAAGCAAATAGAAGTGGAAAAGAAGCAGGATCAGACAAAAATAAATTTTAAAATAAAGGAAGTAATGAAAGACAAAAAAAGACATTAAGTAATGATAAAGGGATCAGTTCAATGAGAGGATGTAACAACTATAAGTATCTATGTACCCAACATAGGAGCACCTAAATATATAAAGCAAATACTAAAAGCATAAAAGTAGAAAGTGACAGCAATACAATAACCGAAAGAGTGTTTAACACCCCAATTACATCAATGGATAGATCATCCAGACAGAAAATCAGTACGAAAACAGAGGTGCTGAATGACACAGTAGACCAGATGGACTTAACAGATATATAAAGAACATTTGACTCAAAATCAGCAGAATACACATTTTCCTAAAGTGTGCATGGAACGTTTTGCAGTTCACATGTTAGGTCACCAAACAAGTCTAATAAATCTAAGAAGACTAAAATCATATCAAGCATCTTTCCTGATGATAACAGTATAAAACTGAAAATCAATGACAAGAAAAAACTGGAAAAAACATAAACACGTGAAGGCTAAGAACATGCTTCTAAATAATCCATAGATCAATGAACAACTAAAAGAGGAAATAAAAAAATACATGGAGACTAATGAAAACAAACACAACAGTTCAAAATCTGGGGGATGCAGCAAAAGCAGGTCTAAGAGGGAAATTCAGACTGATACAGGCCTAACTCAAAAAAGAACAATCTCAAATAAACAATTTAATCTTACAACTAAAGGAACTAGAAAAAGAAGAAACAAAGCCCAAAGGTAGTAGGAGGGACATAATAAATATCAGAGCAGAAGTAAGTGAAATAGCCACTAAGAAAACAATAGGAAAAAAAAAAATAGATGAAATCCAGTGCTGGTTCTTTGAAAGATAAACAAAATTGACAAACCTTTAGCCAGGCATATCAAGAAAAAGAGAGGACACAAATAAAATCAGAAATGAAACAGAAGGAATTACAACCAACACCACAGAATTTGAAAGGATAAGAGAATTCTTTGAAAACTTACATGCCAATAAATTGGGCAACAAAGAAGAAATGGATAAATTTCTAGAAACATACAATCTTCCAAGACTGACCAAGGAAGAATTAGAAAATGTGAACAAACCAATTACTAGTAATCAAATTGAATTGGTAATCAAAAAACTCCCAACAAAAAAAATACTAGAACCAGATGGCTTCACAGGTGAATTCTATCAAACATTTTAAAGAAAAGCTAGTACTTGTCATTCTTAAAGTATTCCAAAAAATAGAGTGCTCAGAATACATCCAAACTCATTATATGAGCATCATTATTCAATAGTAAACCAGACAAAAAGATTACAAAAGAAAATTACAGACCAATATCCCAGATGAACAGATACAAAAATCATCAACAAAATATTAGCAAACCAAATTCAAAAATACATCATTCATCACACCCAAGTGAGATTCATTCCAGAGATGCAAGAATGGTTCAATATCCACAAATCAATCAATGTGATATATCATATTAACAAAACAAAGGATAAAAATCCTAAAATAATCTCAATAAATGCTTAAAAAGTATTTGATAAAATTCAACATCCATTCATGTTAGAAACTCTCAACAAAGTGGGTAGAGAAAACATACGTCAACATAATAAAGGCCGTATATGACAAACACACAGCTAACATCATTACTCAATGGCAAAAAGCTGAAAGCTTTTCCTCTCACATCAGGAACAAGACAAGGATGCCCATTCTCACCACTTTTATTCAACATATGAAGTACTAGCCACAGCAGTCAGGCAAGAAAAAGACATAAAAAGGCACCCAAATTTCTAAGGAAGATGTAAAATCATCACTATTTGCAGATGACATGACAGTATATATAGAAAACCCTGAAGACTATCACAAAACTATTAAAATAAAGGAATTCAGTGAAGTTGAAGGATACAAAATCGATACACAGAAATCTGTTGCATTTCTATATAATAACAACAAGCTATCAGAAAGAGAAATTAAGAAAGAAACCCCATTTACAACAGTATCAGTAAGAATAAATACCTAGGAATAAATTTTACCAAGGAGATGAAAGACCTGTAGTCTGAACACTGCAAGACACTGGGTGAAAGAAGTTCTGGCCATTCTGTTCACTGATCCATGTATCTACTGTTTTAAAACCCAGAAATAAACCAATGCTTACAAAGAAGACAAGAATATACAATGGGGAAAAGACATTCTCTTCAATAAATGGTGTTGGGAAAACTAGATAGCTACATGCAAGAGGATGAAACTGGATCATTGTCTTACACCATACACAAAAATAAACTTTGTGGATTAAAGACCTAAATGTAAGACCTGAAATCATAAAACTCTTAGAAGAAAACATAGGCAGTAAACTCTTGAATATCAATATTAATAATTTTTTCCTATATCCATTTCCCAGGCAAAGGAAACAAAAGCAAAAATAAACAAATAGGTCTAAAAAATTGAAATTCTGCATAACAAAGGAAACCATAAAAAAATGAAAGGCAAACTGCTATGTGGGCAAATATATTTGCAAATGATATCCAATAAGTGGCTAATATCCAAAATATACAAAGAATTCATACAACTCAACACCAAGAAAAAATAACAACCCTAATAAAACTGGGCAGAGGAACTTTATTTTACCAAAGACAATGTACAGATAGCCAACAGGCACATGGAAAGATGCTTAACATCACTAATCATCAAGGAAATGGAAATCAAAACCATAATGAGATTATTACCTCACATCAATTAGAGCATCTATTACCCAAAAGACAAGAAATAACAAGTATTGGCAAGGATGTGGAGAAAAGGGAAACCTCATACACTGTTGGTGGGAATGTAAATTGGTACAGGTTCTGTGGAAAGCAGTAGGAAGGGTTCTCAAAAAACTAAAAATAGAAAATACCATAGGACCCAGTAATTCCACTTCTGGGAATTTACCTGAAGAAAATAAAAACACTATTGCGGTACATTTGTGTGTGTGTGTGTGTACATACATATATGTACATATATATATACATACACACACACACACACACACACACAATGGAATGTTACTCAGCCATAAAAAAGAAAATCTTACCATTTGTGACATGAATGGACCTAGAGGATATTAGGTTAAGTGAAATAAGCCAGGCAGAGAAAGACAAATACCATATTATTTCACTTAAACGTGGAATCTAAAAAACAAAACAACAAACAAAATAGAAACGTACTCAGAGACACAGAGAATAGACTGCTGGGGTTGCCACTGAGAAGGAAGGGGCCAGTGAAGTAGGTGAAGTGGAGAAAGAGGGACAAAACTTCAATTGTAATATAAATTAGTCATGGGGATGAAAGTACAGCATAGGGAATATAGCCAATCATACTGTAATATCTTTGCATGTTGACAGATGATAACTATACTTCTTGGGATGAGCATTTCATCCCAAAATTAATGTAGATTGTCAACTCACAATATTGTACACCTAAAACCAATATAATATTGTATACCAACCATACTTCAATTAAAACAAAGGGTATAAAGGAAAGTAGTCATATTGAAAGGTAACCTGAAATGATTTCATATGTGGAATATTGAATACAATAAATAGTTCATCTAGGAGGTAGAAAATATCTACAAATATCTAAAAAGGCATTATGAGAAAAACTAGACTAATATTTTTCTAATACCTCAGAGAAACTAAAATTGAACAGGGAGACAAGTGGGTCAATATAAGGAAGTGTTAAAGTTGGGGATAAAAAAATGAACAGACTGCTTTAAGACAACTGTATTTCCAATGACAGGGGAACTTAACTATCATTAGAGGCTTAAGTCATTAAAAATAGGGTAGAGAAGATACAAGCATCACAAGTTATACTATAAAACATTTGAGGTAATTGTAATCTGGAACTTATTTATGTAATTTTAGAGCTTTTCTTTTTTTAATTGGTAAAGGAAATGAATGGCAGAAAAATTATTCCTCTCTTTCTTCTTTTTTCCTGTTATGTCTCCAGGAAATTGTAAAATCCCAAGGAGAAAATACATGAATATCTTTGTATACACAAAAATATACAGTAAGGTTCATCTGTATTTCAAAATCCCAACATTTCAGCACTATGTCCAATGTTCCAAGATAGCATGTAGCAGGGGAGAAGCAGCAGCTAAGCAGCAATACTTACAGGACTGATACTACCAGAGTTATGTTACAGAATGGCCCAGAATAAGTGAGTGACAAGAGAGGGTCCAGTTTTCCAAAATGAATGAGTAAATAAACAGACACTCTAAGAGCTGATATCACCTACTTCCAACAGTTTTATCATGTTTCCCTTCTGGAAAGTTGGGGAAGCACAACACCCAACCACCATTTGCATATAACCATCAATACCCCTTAGAATTTCAATCCTATTTTGGAATTGAAATTCTATCCACTTCTGCAGAATTGAATAGAAGCTCATTTCCAATAGCAACTATGTCTTTCCTATGCATTCTGAATGCAGACAAGATATTTAACATAAATTAATACATATTAATTACTTTATTAGACTAACATGTGTTAACTTAAGAGTATGCAAATATTTTGTGTATTTTAGATTTAGACACACTGTTTATCTTGGGGAAACAAATAACCAATACAAATACTTTAACTACTCTGAATACGCAAGTAATAATATTTTGGTATTAAAGTTGGTTAGTATTATTTCTTACCTTTTCAACATCTGCCTTGGTTGCATTAGTATCATTATCCAATCTTTCATAACTCTGTTGTGCCTTTTCTGCCTCTCTACATTCTCTTTCAAATTTCTTTTTACTCTGTTAGAAAAATTTAAATATCACAATGAGAAATAAAAATAGATGGTTAAAAAAACAACTTTAAAATGGTGTCAGTGTGTATTTTGCACAATTGAACACCAGAAGTAAAAATTTTTCTAAATTAGAAATTTTACTATTACATTACAATCAATCCATATGCCTTAAATACCAGACATAGAAAGTGAAGAAAAAAAATCATAGAGCACAGGCATGACTATTTATTATATATCTCATCTCTTCTCAATAAGAAAAAAAAATCATATATATTTTGTAGTTTTTTATTATAAGCCCATCCTCAGCAGGACTTTTGGTTAGGTATTTTGTGGGTTTGGTTTTATAAATTTATTTGTTTGATTTTGGTGTTTACTTATTTTTTGGTGGGATCCCAATATAGCTCAAGATGTGGAAATACCCCTCTAGAATAGTTTTATATTGTTTCTTCCAGGAATTTCTTTTCTCTCTTTAAAAATTTTTTTAATGTAACTCAAGTTGCTATGACTTTGTAAAAGCTATTTACAACTGAGGCATGTGACATGTATCATATTTCCTTTACTGCATACTTTTTTATTCCTGGAGTATCTTTTTTTTAAATTTGCTTAGTTTTCAATGTACTCTTCTCTAATTCAACCACACTTTCCCCAGTTCTTGAAATATCTTCTCAGTTTATTCAAAGACACTTAGAATTCTATTTTACCTTTTTTTTTTTTTAAATAAACTCTCTCCCAAATACTTTTGACCTGCTGAAATTTGGACTGGGTGCCAAAACTACGCCTACTGCATAGCTGTTACCTTGGCATTTCCCTTCACCATTTTCCTGGGGGTTCGTTTCAACCTCCCTTGATTTGAATCTTCTACTTCCTCATTTCACACCTTTCTTTTTCTTAGTTCATTTTCTTATTTTGCTGCAACATATTAACCAGTAGCTTCCTAAAAGGTTTGTGAGAGATAATTTTTTAAGTTTCAACCACTGAAAATATCTTTACCATCACTGTTTATTGGTAAAATTTGGCTAGATATGAAACTCTGAGTTGACATTGTCTTCCCTGAGAAATGTTAAAGTACCAAGACACTGTCTTCAAGCTTCCTAATCCCATTCTGACTCCTGATTCTTTTCATAAAAGATGTTCACTTTCTGTTTTGTTTTCCTCTCTGGAGGCTGGTAGGATATTCTCTAACTGTTCTGAAATCTCATGAAGATATGTCTTGTGAATCCACTGTGCTGGGTACGGATACCTAGAAAAACCCTTCCCATCTAGAAACATGTCCTTTCTATCCTGGGGAAATCTTGAATTATTTTTGTCTGTCCATTTCTGTGTTTTCTCTTTCTTAGGATGCTTATTATAAAAATAAACCTATAGGACAAGTACTCTAATTTTTTTATCTTTTCTCTCATATTTTCCATCTCTGATGTTTTGCCCTACATTCTGAGAAGTTACTTAGATTTCATTCTCTTCAATGAGTTTTTCATTTCTGCTGCCATAATGTCCTTTTTTGTTCTTTGTATGTTCCTTTTTTTAATACTATCTTCTTCCCATTTCATGGATATAATATCTTCTCGATTCCCTTTGAGAACACTAGTAATAATTTTGGGTGTTTTTTGGGTGCTTGTTTTTGCTTTTCAATTTCCATTTCCTTTCACAGTCACTGTTTTTTCAAAACTGGTTTTTTCCCTGCATATTAGTTTTGTTCTCTGGTGTTTGCATTAGATACTTTCTTTAAATGTCTAGGATCCTTACCCATCTGATCTTATTTTAAAAGCCCACTGAAAGCCTTGCAGGTGGGGCTTGTGGATTATGGTCTTTTTCCTCTAGGGTGGCATGGCCAGGCAGTTCCTTAGAGAAACCCTGGTATCATTTTCTATAAAACCTTTCCCCTCAAGCTGGTTAGATGCCTCAGAGGAGATTCTTCCAATTTCTTGCCTGGAGAAATACATACCTTGCTACCTATATTCTGAGAATTCCTTTTAAGAAAGTAGAAGATTTCAACATTTTGTTTACCTAACCCCCTCATTAGAACCAGTTACGAATTCCATTCCTTGTCTTGGGTATTACAAAACTACACATATCATGCACATTTGCCTCATAACTACAAGGTCAAAGGTTTAAATTTCTCATTGGATACCTCCCCACCTTTGATCTTCAGACAGAGATAAGTCTCTTTGCTGTCTCCTCTGGCCAATAGGCAAAGTTCTTACAGTCTACCTTCCACTAAAGATTTAGTCCTTTGAAGGTGTGAACTTTATACAGAGGTATCAGTTCCAACTCTCCACAACATACAAAGCTAAAACATAACTCTGTCCCTGTATGAGTATTAAAATCTAAGCCCTTAGAGCAAGGTCTAGTAAGCCACCATATCCCAGTATCTCTGCCCCATTTTTCAAATGCCACTGTATCGGTTCATGTACCTATTAATCTGGCTTTTAGTTTACCCTTAGTTTTTACAAGTCAGGTGTGTTCCTTTCCTTCAGGCAGCTCTCATAAGAGAAAGGAAAGCTTTCCCAGTAAACCCCCAGCAGACTTCCTCATGAGTGTCTTTGACAGGATTAGATTATTTATAAAATATAAGCAATACTAAATATAGAATATTTTAGCTATTTTATCTAGGTATTTGTAGCCAAACATTTTCTGAGTTAGCTCAGTTTACCATATAGCTAGAACCAGACATACCTGCAATTTACATAAAAAATGTGCTCAGAAATTTTTCATAAAATCCTTTAAATGTACTTACTATTATGATTAGCATGAGACATCAAATGAGACACAATCTACTCAAAGCACATACATATATCTGAATACACAGAATATCACTTTCCTGTGACAATTATGATTAAATTTTTACATTAAAAAAAACTTTCCAAGTTTAATTCTCTGAAACTCAGGTCAGAGCTGTTTTCAAGTTAGTGGCTACAAATTTGGAAGCAATTTGAGGTTATTTTTATATACAAAAGTATTATAATATGAGGTATCTTATTATTTATGAAAAAAGCCTGCATTATTTCCTTGCAACAGCAAAAAAATCACTAGTATAATAATACTAAAAATACTCCTTCCCTGAAATTATACTATAATCATTGTATAATATAGTCATATACTGCAAAAGATTCTCCTTTATTCATCCTTTATGTAGCAGACTAATCAACAGCCACTTCTCCTCTGCCATCCTTTATTAGAAAAGCTCACTTCCCACTCTAGAGGCTGAATAGCTGATACTTGCTTGACCAGCTTCCCCCAAGCTGGCGCACAGTCAAGTAATCTAATCCTGTCAAAGACACACTCATGAGGAAGTCTGCTGGGGGTTTACTAGGAAAGCTTTCCTTTCTTGATAAAAAGAAACAGAAGAGAAATGCCCCCCTTTTCCTGCTTCTGCATGAAGCTGAAGGAGGATGTGGGACTTGACAGTGTAAGTCAACTACTGACCATAAGGGAACAAGCTTGAGGAAAAAAGTCAGTATAGTCAAGATGGCAAGGTGGATAGACTGAAAAAGAAGGCTTCCTTGGTGACCATCACTGAGCTACTGACCAACCCTGGAACTGCTCCATTTCTGAGCCCCAGTATAAACTTGTATGCTCTTTTACTTAGAGCTATCTAACTGACATACCTGGCATTTCTGATGCTTCTATCTCCTTATTTTCTGACCATTTCCTTCAAATTTTTTTTTCACAGTCTACTCTCTTCCACCCTCATCATAAATGATAACTATTATCAAGCCCACCATCTAAAATGGTGCTCCCTATTTTATTTATCCTGGAGTTAATAACTCTCTTTAATTTTTTTCTCAATTTTCAATACTCTTTGTCACTAATTTAACCGGTCTCTCCCAGTTCTTTAAATGTCTTCTCAATTATTTCAAACATGTCAGGGATTTTACAATTTCATTTTCTTGATTAAACAGAAAATCACGGAATTAGGAAATGAGATCTTACACATATTTCTACATATCACAGAGAAACTATATTTGTCTGTCTCCCTCACTAGACTGCAGGCTTCATAAAAACAAGAACCATGCCATTACTCACTTTTGTACCAGGACCCAGTACATGTCAAGGATGCCTTCAATAAACACGAGTTGAGCTGAACTCACCTTTGTTTAATGGTTAATGCCTTCAGGAAATCTCTCCTACATTTTTTGATGCTTCTTTCTTATGACCCCTATAACTTTTGCTTAATAACTTCCAACTGTTCTAAAGGCAAGTCAGCACATATTAACAGGAATTATTTATGCCAACACCAACACGTTTTTAAGGGGATCAATGGTTCATAAGTGTAGGAGTCTGTTATTCTGTACAAATGAAAAGGCGCTAGTATGCACACACGTGCACACACACACATTCATTAGGTGTCAGATACTAAGAATAATTAAGTCAGTTGAAAATTTAATAAATGTAAACACTCCCTAAAAGTCTTACTGAAACCAATTAGAAAGAAAAAACAAAAATGAAAACAGACTATTAATATACCTAAGAATTTTCAATCAGCAATGGTGATTAGATTCTTACATTTATGATGGTTACATAGCAGAAATTTAATCTAAACTTCGAACACTAGCTTTTATAAAGAAAAAAAGGCTGAATACAGTGCAGATATATGCTTGAGGTTTTTAACTCAAACTTGAAAGTTCTTTTTCCAACAAACTAAACTGATTAATTTAATTTGAAAAACTCCTTTCAGCCTAATTTTCAAGGAATACACAGTGTCCTTCATAAAAATACACAGGAAATGAATAAACTACTTGCTAACCTGAGGATTCAAAAAGAATATTAATCTTATACTACAGAACATCATTTAGTAGAGCATTTTAAGGAAAGGAGACAATATGTTCCATGTAGACCTCTTGTTTTTCAAATGATTTGCAAGCTAGAACACTTTAGAATGAACAAGCATAGTATTAAGTACCCTTGGAAAGTTTTTAAAGTAAATAATTATTACTCTTCTGTGATTTTGGCCTATCAAGTATCTGATTTCTTACAATGGGATGGTCTATGACCTGCAGCCTAGTGGTAAAACATTTACATTATTACAGAAATCACTGAACCAGAAGAAACATTTCATATAATCTAGTCTACTGTCTCCATTTTTTAAATGCTAAAATGAAGCCAAAAGAAATCAGGTGCTAAAAAAAAGGTATTACTAGAATCTGGGTCCTCTCAGTCTCAGTCAAATAGTCTTCTAAGACATCACTATTTCCCTATCATTATCCTCTATCAATATTTTCTAACACCTACTGCAAAGTCAAAAAGAATCTTCCTTAAAGTTTGCAATTATCTGAAGATTATATAAAGTTGATACAAGATAAAACCATACAGAAAAAAAGAAAATGACAAAATGACCTCACATTCTCTACTTATACCTATGTCAAACCATGCATACATTGAAAAAATATTAAACTCAAATAAGTATGAAGCATAAGAGAATTAAGGGCTAAACAAGCTTATAAAATTTTATGTTAACTAACCATGAAAATATTATAACTCACATTATCCATCTGTTTCCAACACATATCAAGGTATTGTTGAGCTTTTCGTCCCTCTTGAAGATGCTGAAGATCATAACCACCACCAAAAAAAAAAAATTATATTTAAATACTAAATAAAGTCTGAAGTCCCAAAAAGGCTTTCCATTTTATTTTTTTTCAAGGTACCAATTATGTAACTCCATTGACACTTAGGAAAAGATTAGTAGTAAAGCAAAACTCTCTAAAATAAATTTTATAGGATGTTATGTAAATACAGATAAAATCTCTAGAAAAATACATGACTGTCTTGCACAGGGGCTGACAAACGTTTTCTATAAAGGGTCAGATAAATATTTTAGGCTTTGCAAGATACATGTTCTCTGTTACAAAAATTCAACTCTGCTGATATAACACAAAAGCAGCCACACGCAATACAGAAGTGAAGGAGTTTTGAGTCTATTCCTATAAAACTTTATTTTAGTCACTGAAATCTGTAATTCATACAATTTCCACATCATGAAATATTCTTCATTCAATTTTCTTTTTAACTATCTAAACAGATAAAAACAATTATTACTCATGAGAAGTAGAAAACAAAAAACAGGCAGTAAGCTAAATCTGGCATATGGGCTGCAGTTTACCAAATCTTCATCTTAAATCCAAAAGGACTTGGCATGAGTATCTTGAGACAATTTTAGCTAGGATAAATTTATTGAAATAGAAAACCAGATTATATTGTACATACATTATTTTAAAAAGCAAAGTACTTTATTTCTGTGAAAATACTTCATATACTATTGTAACTGGATAGAACAATAAAAATTACCATTTTTCTTTCGGTTTTCAGATCATGAGCATATCTCATTAATTCGCCATAAACTCTGTGTGCCATTTCTTCTGCTACTACTTCTCGCTGTCCTGCATAGTCATTTAACTCATTAAGGATGTTAAAAAAGGCTATACACGAGGTGAACCTGATAAAAACATATTAAAAATTAGTGAAATTTATTTTTATTTTCATTATAAACATTTTTTGTGAGTTATGGATTAACCCTAACACTTGACAAATTTTAAAATACTTGACCTAAATCTAGCTACTAGATCTCAATTTACTTTGCACAGGAAGAATCCTGCATTTAACTCAAGTTTACATGTTTGTATTCTTCAAGGAGTCTTAATTTATAAATAAAGGGATATTTGGGGTCAAAAAATAATAAGAATACTACCTGCAGGCTCTTTTGGCATACTAGAATCTCTTAAGTTGACAACTGATTGGCCTGAGCTTGGGAATGAACTTGAGTGGATTCCTGGGCTTGGCAGCTGAACCTGCTGCAGAGATGGTGTACTTGGTCTCAAGTATAGAAACTACCATCATACCACTCAAATGAATCTCAATGGCTGATTTATAGAATAATTTTGCTATCAGCTCTGGGCACAGCTGCCTGTATGTCTTCCTACATCCTGAATGGAAGCGAAGTGCCACTATGATTGGCACCAAGAGGGGTAAAAAGGGGTAAATTAAGGGTAAAAAAATGTGTGGAGGGAAAGAGAAACAAAATCACTGTATTAAAACGTACAGCTCTTCTTGAATACACACTATGGGGACACTTTTATAGCTTAAGGAAGACAGCTAAGATAGGGCTCTGTCAACACTAAACTTGTGAATCTTAACAGACAGTAACACAGAAAGTTAAATCTAGTCTTAAAACGTTTTTTTTGTTTCCGCATTTTATGGCCTTCCACATGTCCCTGTATAAGACTGCCAGAAAACTCATAGACAATTCCAAATTCCAAAATTACCCTGAAAGCCTCACTCCTTTTTGTTATCCCAATGACCTGAATTGTTTTACTACTTGTAAGAGTTAAAGCCAGAATCTAAAAGGCTGACAACTACAAAATGAAGTGTGGAAAAAATACCCTTTTCTTGTGGAAACTAAATCACTCACATGGAGTCCCAGTTCACATCTTACTTGGAAATCCACACTTCAACTATTTTTAGATAACTATTATCAAGCCCACTGAATATTCACCCTTATAAGAATAAATAGTAGTTCCTTCTTTCATAAATACTGTAATGTTTTTATTGAAACAAACTTATAAAAAATCTTTATAGAAAAGCTAACAGCATGATTATTTATTTTACTAAGTAACAAAAATATAAGTATTTTTTAAATTTTTAATATGCAATAAACAGGTGATATAATTTACCTTGGCTCTTCATCTTTGGAGGAACGTTTGGGACAGTACTTCTTAACCAGATTTCTACAGAAAGAAGATTTTTAAAAATTTTAAGTAATACTGTTGTTGAAATATTCTAAAAGTTTCTAATTTCATTAAATCAAGAATTTAATGATATAAAACAAGACAGCAACAGCATCATCTATTAGCATTAGCGTCATAATGTATGATCATTACTTACATTTTGTTCTTAAAACCTGCAGAAAGAAATGTTATTTCTGTGCTTCTATGAGTATAATCATAACAATGTAACTGATTATGCTATCAAATAAAAAAGAGGCAAGAGGAAGAACAGAAGAAACAAAATAGTGTATGAAACTGAGTCATGGCAGAAACACATGTACTTCAAATATACTTCAGTTGAAGTACCATCACTACTTTGTTTTGCAAATCAGAGATTTTAATACTAACTATGGTAAACCAAAACAGAAGCTAAATCACTAACAGGATAAAAGAACAGTTGATCATCATCCTCCATAACTCTACTTTTTTATGAAAATCATTATGTAACCCTTAATCTTCTCTTTTTTAGGCAAATTAATTACATTTGCACTTGTTACTCTCTTTGCTTGCATCTGTGTCTTTTCTTGACGTTTTCAGACTAGAAAGCTAACTCATTTCAAAAATCAGAGACAGACTAGTACAAGTACTCTGGAGTCAGACTGAACTATATGGGTTTGAATCCTAGATGTTTTGTGTGGCATCTATGTGACCTCAGGCAATTTACTTACCTTCTCTGTGCCCAGTTTTCTATAAATGGCATTACCTGTACCTACTCCATAGGGTATGGGAACTGAAGTTGATAGTATTTGTAAAGCGTTTAACACAGGGCTTTATACCATGCTCCCAAAAGTATGGTCCATGGGCCAATAAAGGTCTATAAGACCATTAACAACCCACAAGCTGAGCACACAAGAGTACATTTATGTCTGTTGAATCTACTAGATTTATAAATTAATAAAATATAATAAATATTAATAAATTCATAAATTAATTTAAAAGTATGGGCCTATATTTTAAATCTTTTTGTCATTTTTTCTAATTTCTATTATTATTTATAAAAGCTTCAGTATACAATGGATCAGAACTTAGTAAGAAACTAGATCATCATCACAAATAATGAGATGCACTATTTTAACCTATAAGCTTTTAAATAACAAATGGTCCTATAATCTTTCAAATAAATACTATAGAGGAATCGCTGTCTTAATATTCTCAGATTACTATCAATTAATTTCACTTAATTCAATTTATTCATTCTACAAGCAATTGTCTACTAAGTGCTACACCTTTACATGACATAATACGTTAAGGACAATAAAAGATTCTGTAGAGGGCTTCCCCAGAGGAAGGCTTAAATTTCTGATTCCCTGACTTATCCTAAAGAGGTGAACAGGGGTGCATGGGTGGTTCAGTGGTAGAATTCTCTAAAGAGGTGAACAGGAACTGGGCAACTGAAAAGCCCTGGGGGGTTCTAAATAGAGAAAACCTAATGAGCAAAGGCAAGGAAGTAAGAGAAAAAAACAAGGCATTTATGAATAACTATGAATGGGTTCATCTAATGTGAGCTGCTGGAACATCTAACGTGAGTCAGAAAATGGCAAAGCAGTTAAAGTGGGAAAGGTAGATGGGGGACCACAGAGGCCATTCTAAGTCATGCAAAGGCACTCGAAATACTTTTAACCAGTGGTTCTTAGTCATGGTTACCTCAAACATCATTTGGTTACACCACCAAGTACCATTTTTATGGATGAATTTATTAATTCAAACATCAGCAACTCTTCTACGTTCTACATGTTAATTATTTCAGGTACTGTATCAGCATAAAGAAAGGGATGAATCATAGCTAGCAAACTCACAGTTACTTACAGTCCTATCTAAGAAAGAACTCAGAAAGGAAAATGGGAAAGAGATAATGAATAACTCAAAGAATTAATTAGAATAGACAAATCCACAGTGAGACTTTGAAAGTAGATTACTGGTTGGCAGGGCCTGAAGGAGGGCAAATGGGAATGACTGCTGATGGGTAAAGGGTTTTTTTGGGAGAATGTTGAAAATATTGTAAAATTAGATAGTGGTTGTGGTTGCAAAACTATGTGAATATAGTGAAAAACACTGGCCTATATACTTTAACAGGGTGAATTTTATGGTTTTGTGAACCATACTTCAATAAAGTTGTTACAGAAATGATAATAGCTATTGGATAAGCAGCCCATCCGCCACAGGACATCAAATCCAACGTCTAAAATGGAGTTTATAAACTTCTAAAAATAAGTTATTTTCTTGTATCAATGGCACCACCATTCACCCAGACATTTAAACCAAAAATCTGGCCATCATCTCACACTTTATCAAGTTTCTCTCACCTTAAGATGTTCAAGTCCTATAGATTCTATTTTCTAATAAACTCTTTTTTAAGTTTTAGTGATAATTTTTAAAATAAAAAGAAAACTTATGCAAGGAGAAGCCCCTTCTTCATACTTTTACGGCTTTGCAGGATACAGATGTGTAAGGACAGGATGACTGAAGCTACTACAACATCTTGTAACCATGAATGGAAAGACCGAGAAATTCACAAAATGCCCTGTCACCACTAAGCTCTATAATCCTCCATTTCCAAACTTCCTGTTACTTGAGAAGAGTCTTACCTGAAGGTGAGTGCCTAATTTATTTAGCTGTTCTATAGAGACATATAAATGTCCTATAGAGACATGGAGTTAAAAACTGGAACTCTGAAGAAACTTCTGGGATCAACATATGGATGTGAATCAACATATTCGAGGACAGTAACAAAAACAGCAGAAGCTACCATTAGTCAACCGTATATTACTTGCCAACCTCTATGCTAAGCACTTTATAGATAATCTTATGCTTACAACAAACCTGCAAGCAAGTACTGTTTTTATTGGCCCTATTTTACAGGACTCAGACACATTAAATACCTGGTTCATAACCTAGTGAGGACAAAGCCAAAACCCACCTCAAGTCTGATTCCTGTCACAGGAAAAATAATGAATGAGAATGAGGTTACCCAAGAAGTATGAGATGAGAAGGTGGCTAAAGATAACCTAGGGACACATATTTAACAGGGAAGGAAAAAGAGCTGCTTAAGAAGATCAATTAAGGATGAGCAGTGAGGTAGACTAGAGGTAAACAAACTGCACAGCTGCTTGTTTTTGTAAATAAAGTTTTACTGGAATACACCACACCATTCATTTATGTGCTGTCTGGGATTGCTTCTGCAGTATAGCAACAGAGCTGAACAGCAGCATAGTTGACAAGTTGTGACATAAGGCCCAGAAAACCAAAAATATTTATTATTTGCCTTTATAAAAAAAAGTTTGCCAACTCCTGAGGTAGGTAACTCAGAAAACCCAAGAAAGCGTATCACTGAAGACAAGGTTTTTTTTTAAGTTCTAAGAAGACAGAAATAGTCCATTCAAATAGATATAATAAAACTGGTACCAAAAATATTCATGGAATTTAGCAATTATGAAGTAACTGATTATTTAATTAGCAGTATGGTTATTATAACCACAATCTCCAACCTATAAATGGGATATATTCTAGAAATTACTTTTAAAGTCAGTGATTTTTGACCATGAATACATGAGTTACTTTAAACAAATACAAGTTAAACTTGGGCAAAGAACATTTTAAATGGCAAGTATTTCAAACTTTGAATGTACTTCTCTGTATCAACATTTTAAGCATGGTTTAGTGGTTTAGGCGATAGTGGACATCTGTTGTTTGGCTACCTGCATCACTCACCCTTCCTTCTTCTGTAACAGCTTATGGCAAATGCACTACTGCTCATCAAAGTCATGATATTTCATATACTTCCCCACTTCTTTGGTTAGTCCTGGACGATGTGGCTAATTCTAATGGGCTATCTGCTCTGTATTAAGTACTAAACTGAAGCATTAAGAACTTGTGCATAACACTCTGGGCTCCCTCATTCCTTGCTGAAGCAACTGTGGAGGCTTCATGTTGAAATGAAGAAGGAAATAGTCTGGATTCTTGAGTTACCACATGGGCTACCCTTGAGAGTTATCACCTGGACTTGGAGATGACTTTGCATGAGCAAGAAATAAGCTTTTGCTGTATAAAGCATCTGGGACTTGGGAGTTATTACACTAATACAGTCTAGCATATCCTAAACTACAGTTCCTCTATTATGTCTATGTAATTGTGATGGGGCTGGCCACATATTATGGTCCAGGAATACTTACTCGATCCAGGCCTATTAATCCAGGCCAATGAAAGTCAATCCTAAAATTTCTGTTATAATTCTAGGGAAAACAACATCTCTTTCTGCTGAAGTTATTGAAGCACATAATCCTAGAACCATGCAGGAAAATTCTACTTGAAATCAAACCAATTGAGAGGAAAGCAAAACAAAGAGAAATTCTTAACACTTCAGAGTACCTAGATCTCTAAACTTTTCAGCCACATATAAGCCAATAAATCCCTTTCTTTGCTTAAGCCAGTCTGTGTTAGGCTTCTGATACTTGAAAGAATTATTACTACTGCAGAGTTTAACCACAAAAGTCGTAACACAGCATCAACAACACTAATTTGAACTTCAGATTCTGGGATGAAGAGCACATAATGTGCACAAGAGGGAAGGGGAAAAAGAAGAAAGTAATATTAATTTTACCTTCTGAGCATGCAAGGTTAGTCCTTAGCAATTTTTTAAAATCAAATCTTGCCTCTCTTTCTGTAAAAGTCACCCCTCCATAGACAACTCTGCCCAAACCCCAAATATCCAGATCCCTCAAAAACAGTACACAAAGCGACTGAAGACCATCTAAGCAATCCTGCCACTAGAAAAACTACAGCATGGTCTAAAATATCATTTTTATATTTCACCAAAATAAAACTTTTGTGCTAGGAAAACGTATGTTCTGGATGAAGACACAATGAATTATTAATAGTACTCACTTCTAGGAAGAGGGACTGGGCAGGGACTCAAATCGAAATGTTACAACAATCAGATACCACTTTCTTAATTTTTTTAAAAA